TGTCTATTCATAGATGTAAGACCTTCTTCCAACTTCTGGCATAAATACAGTCAGACCAACTTTACCTTTCCAACTTGTTGCTAGAAACTGCATTGGCCCCAGCAGGAAGTCTAGCATCCATTTCCTAAAAATGGCATCCCATCCTAATCCTGAATTGTCTGAGAATAACAAGGGCTTTCACAGTTCAATTCAAGGGTCATTTTTTCCCTCAGTGTTAGGGGAAGGAGAGAATGAAAAGGCACATCAGTCCACTAGCACCATAACTGGGCTCACCGTCAAGTCCCCGCACTAGCTAAACAGCTATCCACTGCTGAGGTGACGTCCATACTGGACCAGATGACAGTCATATCCACAATGTTTCCTTACGCTTGCATTTCAAGGCTTTTCTTCTTTGATTCTCACATGCTTCACCATTGTCCCCAGAACACAACCTCATGCCAGGGCAGCTGGATCCAATGGGGCATCTGCTACATGTTGTTCAGAATCAATCTCCCTTCCTTTATTTTTTTTAAAGGTTTCATTTATTTATTTGAGAGAGCGAGTGGGGGGAGGGGCAAAAGGAGAGGGAGAGAGGATCTCAAGCAGACTCCATGCAGAAACCAAGAGTCAGAGTCTCATGTGTCTGCCATGCCCTGTCCTTCCCCTCATAACCCACTGAGCCACCCAGGTGCCCCTCCCGTCTTTTAATTCTTAGTTCATGTATTGAACCCAGACCACTAACCATTTAGCCCTTCCCTTGAGGTGATGCTAATAGGACTAGCCCTAAAGTAAAAAATGAGTGGGTCAATATATGTAAAGAATGTACACTATGTGGTGCCTAGCAAGTTCTCACCGAATGTTATTCTCACTATTATTTTACATGTGAGCCTGCATGTCAAGTGGCAGAAATCTCAGAGATACAGGCTAAGCATATTATTGTTTCCAAAATAATTTCTAGCTCTTATTAGTGCCTTAGAAATAAAATTTGGTCACTCTGTCTTTCCCAGAGCAAAAATTGAGTACCGGCAAGAGTACTTTGTCAAGAGTCACATCTTCAGCCTAGGTAGTTATTAAAAGTGAGAATGGATGAGTCAAGATTTCCAATCCTAACAAAGCTATACATGTTATAAATAGGTCTTTTCTAATAGAGGGAGCAAGTCAGGACAAGGCAACTTCAGTGAAGAAAAACTAAAAGAGAAATGGTTGTAAAGAAAAAAACAGTTCTAGCGGTGGTGCATGAGGGAAAGGATCACTTCATGGAGAATAAAGTATGATTACTATGCTATATGTGTTTTCTGTGCTGATACTTTCACATCCAATCCTTCCTGGGCCTGTCTTCCAAACTTCACTCAAGTTTGGTTCCGCACATCTGTGTACATCAAGGACACTCCTGAAGACAGTGTCACCCAGTACGCCGACTACCTCTGCCATTCCGAAGCATGAAAGGGCCTAGGAGAGGGCAAGTCTCTTCAAAGAAATCTGGGCGGGGGAGCATTTAGGACTACAGTGCTATACTCTCCATGCTGCCTTTGAAGCAAGCCTGTTTTTTTTTAAATTCACCATCTCAGGTAGCAGGAATGACTTCAACAAAGGGCACTTCCTGAGGATTAACTATTTGGAAGCAGGGAGAATTTTAAAAACTCTCAGCTCCTCCACCTCAGGAAATGCCAGGCCCTTTGAGAGCTATTACTTAAGTGGATCCTGCCACATCATTTCATTCCTAATTAACCCCAAATCCTCACTTTTATCCATGTGCTGAAACCATTGTTTAATTCAAACTTGTATTCTTTTTTTTTTTAAGATTTTTTTTTATTTATGTATTTGAGACACAGAGAGAGAGCCAGGGGGAGGGGAAAAAGGAGAGGGAGAAGCAGGCTCCCTGCTGCTGGGGCTCCTGGGACCCTGAGATCAGGACCTGAACCAAAGGCAAACACTTAACCCTTAACCGACTGAGCCACCCAGGCACCCTAAGTAGGCATTTTCAACTACTCAGCTGTGTAATTTATGTGCAGCCTACCTTTTGTTCTCTCACCCAAAGAGAGAACATGGAAAAAATATTAGAGTGTCAATATAAATAAAATGCATTTTTATGTTGCTATTACCTCCTCTGTCCATGAAATCATATATAGTTTCTGAACAGCTGAGCTCATTGTGGATTCATTATCCGTTTATTAAAATACATTTTTCCCACTCTTGTCTTTGCCCCCCACCAGAAAAGGACAAAATGATAGAAAACCATTCCAGAGCTTATTTGTGTCTATAAATATCATGCAGACTAAAATTTTAAAAAATTTAATGTCACCTTTACTCTTCATTCCACAACCTTATTAATAGAGATGACCTATAACCTGTATATCAAGCTATCTTCAATGTAGATCAATAAAAAGAACCAGGAGAGGTAATTCTTTCTTTGAGTTCAAGATCCAGAACCAAATTCACAGGTACGCAACCTGTGCAGACACCCAGGGCTCCACACTGACAAAGGCCCCACATTTGGTTTCATGCTCTGCTGTCTCTGTCTTGAAGTTCCTAATAACTTTTGAACGAGGGGCCCCTCGTTTTCATTTTGTACTGAACCCTGAAAGTTATATAGCCAGTCCTGTCAAGATCATCTCTTAACCACTAATCAAGGCATGGCAAGGGCACTCTGTGGAACTGTGCATAGTTTTCCTTCCAACAGGATCTGTTTTTAGGGTGATAGCCTCCTAAATCAGCCAGCTTGGTTTTGCAAAGACTACAATTCTATAAATTCCTCTCCCCTTATTTGTCAGGGATGAGGATACAGTAGGGGAAAAGCAGGGAGGAGCATGATAGTCAAAAGCTTCTTTGCAGTTTTTATATAAAATGGACTTTTCTAATGGTCCAGATTAACGAAGAGGCTTCTGATTTAAGGGGCTACATCTAGTAATCTACCCTGTTCCTGGACCTAGAATCAGTGGAAATAGGGTGTGATAGATGAGATTTCCTATTAGTAGACCTGAGTGTGAATCCCTTTTTCACCACTCACTAGGTTTTTGATCTTGGATAAATTACTTAAACAATGAGGCTCAGCCATTTTTTTTTAATTTAAAAAATAGAGATAATGATACTTGTCTACAAACTTTTGTAAAGTGAGAGAAGAAAACTAATATTATATGCTCAATATTATTGTGGAACCATTCCATTTCTAAAAATTGAAAATACAAACAAAAAAAAATCACACACACTTGGATGATCACAATTTTTTTAAGATTATTTATTTATTTATTGGGGGGAGGGGCAGACAGATGGGGGAGAGAGAGAAATAAGCAGACTCCACGCTGAGTGGGACTCTCCATGTGGGGCTCCATGCAAGGGTTCCATCTCACAACCCTGAGATAATGACCTGAGCCAAAACCAAGAGTCAGGTGCTCAACCAACTGAGCTACCCAGGCGCCCCTGGATGATTATGATTTTTTTAAGATTTTATTTACTTATTTGTCAGAGACAAAGAGAGCACAAGCAGGTGGAGTGGCAGGCAGAGCGACAAGCAGGCTTCCTGCTGAGCAAGGAGTCCAATGCAGGACTCGATGCCAGGACCCTGGGATCATGACCTGAGCTTAAGGCAGATGCTTAACCGACTGAGCCACCCAGGCATCCCTGATTGATTACAATTTTAAAGACTCCTTAAATCTCCTCCTCTTGGACCATGCTCACTTCAGGGCTCTTTTCTACTTTGTCATGTTGCCATTAAAAATTCATCACATGTATTTATATCCTAGCTGAAAAACACAAAGGGATTGAAATAGGCTCCAGCACATAGGTTCCTTACACTTGGCAGACCCTTATTAAACTGTTTGGAAATGAATAAAGGAGATAGGAGGAGTGAGTCAAAAACAACCTCTATTCGTAGTTTTTCAAGAATTGGCCTACCTGTCTCATCAAAGCCCTATAAATCCACATCCCTCTCTCAGACAGATTGTTCTGGGTTTCTCCTTCTCACTAGTTAAGATAGTAAAAGTAAGAAGAGAGTTCTTTCATCTACATTTTGCTTATAAATCTTTATTTCTCCTTGGGGAAAAAAATTAGCTATTTTTGAATTCATCTTCCATTCCCAGAAACACTAAATAAAAATTTACATTTTCAATGTCTTTAAATTGAAAAAATTAGGTTAAAAATTGTTTCAGGCTGTTATCATCACCAAGTGATGTAACTAAATTCCAACAGGATGCCTTCAGAGGACATTCAATGTCAAATTTGTTCAGAGCTATTTATAATTAAGTTTCAATACGATGAAGGTCATAAGTAAACAATCAAGATGCTTTATCAAATTCCACCACCAAAACTTACCCTGCCACAGTCACTTATGCACTGAAACCTTAACTCAATGGCTTTCTTTGTATGTGCCTGGTTGTTGACATTGACCCATGAGAGGAAATCACATAAAACAAGAGACGGTCATGCCTGGGAGTACAACCAGCCCTCTCAACCTTCCTCAAAAAGTTCAACTCACCTAAAACCAGTTAGCAGATTAGTTTGTCCTGTAAGAATCTGATTAAAGTTCTGAAGCTACAACAGACCATTTCAATCTATTTTTCAAAATTTGTTCATTTCTAATATGTCTCTGTATTACTTCTCAGAATAAAGACATCAATCCTGTTGCTTAATGAACCTGTTTTCCCATTAAAACTGTCATTGAATTTTAGATTTGGTACCTTTGAAATTATCTCATCCATCCCCTTTATTTTACAGTCTAGAAAACTGAGACCAGATAATTTAAGCGACTTGCTCAAATCTTGCAGCATGTTAATAGCAGACCTGGAGCTAGAACTTGTCTCCTGACTCCTAGGTCTACTGTCCTTTTTATTAGCAAGTGAAGCCACTTTAAAGTTTATCATACCTGTCTGTGTCTTTTGCTAAAACTGCCTCTTGCTCAATTACATCAGAACTACTCAATGTCAGAGAAGGCAGAGGCTCAAGTATGGATGTGAATCTCAGGTACAGTCAGAACAAATATTCTTGCCCACATATGAGTAAAAATTGGGAAAATCATTTTTTTTAAGGATGAAAATTTTCCCTGTGGATTTGCAGCATTTATAGGCCTGACATCAGCTGCCACAAACATGAAACAGCTCCACAAGAAAGTAATCTCCAGATGGCTACATCAAGTTGGTAAGATCTGAACTTCTTTTCCTCATGTCTTCACCATCTCATCAAGGGTCTGGATATGCATTTATTCCAGTATGTCTTGTTGTTTTGTTTTGTTTTGGGGGTTGGGGTTTTTTTTGTTTTTTGTGTGGTTTTTTTTGCTAAAACCAAAATACACATGGAATAGGTTTAAGATCTTCCTAGAAACCCATAAAGCTAACCCTAGATGTAGCAGGCAAGTTGTATGACACCAGGGCCAAGGGAGCCATCCAAATGTTTAAAACACGGGGTCTCTCCCCAAAACCCTGTTATTACCATAGTACTATGCTCAGCCTACCTTGGTTCAATCTCCATCCCCATCCTTAGCTCACCACTAAAACCTTTGCAGTCTGGCCTCACATTGGAACTTGCCAGAAGGACATTCTTCTCATCTCCTTAGGACTTGGAATTAAAAATCTTGGGGGTGGGACCCAGCAATCTCTGTCTTCATAAGGCCTCTAGCTGAGTCTCAATCACCCTAAAGTTTGAGAACCACAGATCTAGCCTACATCCCTTTACTTTAATTAACATTGGTAACAGGAGAAAGGATGCCTGGGTGTCTCAGTCAGTTAAGCATCTGCCTTTGGCTCAAGACGTGATCTTGGGGTCTTGGGATCAAGCCCCACATCTAGCCCCCTGCTCATGCTCTCTCTCTCTCAAATGAATAAATAAAATCTTTAAAAAAAAAAAAAAAACTTCAGCAACAGGAGAGAGAAGCATGAGGAAAAAGTAAGGGTTTGATGAGACTAGAAAAAGACTGTAAGGAATTCAGTGAGGACTAAATACAAGTTGAACAAACAGTTCAAAAAAACTTCAAACTTCAAAAAATTTTTTAAAACTGTCATATAATAACAAAGATTCCATCCAGTTTAGTTAACACAATATGCAAAAATTTTGCATCTTATCTTGCAGTTAAAAAGAAATAAAGAATGGGGCACCTGGGTGGCTCAGTTGGTTAAGCGACTGCCTTCGGCTCAGGTCATGATCCTGGAGTCCCTGGATC